GGGGGGGGGAGGGACTGGGGAGATGCCAATTCATCCTGTCTGGCCCCATCCACCATGACCCTACCACTGGGAGGGACAGAGTGGATGAGTGGGCAGGATCTCCATGGAAACCAGCCTGGGACTCGCACGCGCATGGTGTGCTCAGGCAGGAAGATGGGATGGGGCCACAGGTGGGCAGTAAGTGACATCTGGAAGCAGGATGGGCTGGTGGGGCCAGGGCCCAGATCACGGGACAGTGACAGTGGGACCTGGGGCAGAGTCATAATTTGCTCCCTGAACATCCCTGCGATGTGCAGGGAGCCTGTTTCTGCAGCCAGGGGATGGCTGTTCCCATGGAATTGGTACCCACTGCAGGAACATGCACAGAGTGGAGCATGGCTCTGCCCTGGGCTCTGGCCCTGCACTACCACTGCCCTTTGATCCTGGCCTCAGCCCTGGTGCCACCCACCTCTCCCACTACTCGATGCCACACCCACCCACGGCCCCCTCCCATTCACCAGCTAAGCATGCTCAGCCCAGTAGGGCAGGATCCAGTAGCAGCAGCAGCAGCAGCAGTAGAGACACTGGCAGCAGCAGCCAGAAGTGTGAGGGCACTGCCATGAGGGCTGCCAGGAAGCTGAGTCTGACCTCCATGCCACCCTCAGAATACCTGGCCCCACAGACTACAGTTCCTGGCATGCCCAAAGGCTGTGCCCAGGGATAGGGCAGGCTGTGCTCTGCACCAGGCAGCAGCTCCTCACCCAGGGGCAGCAGGACCAGCCACACGCACCATAGCCTGAGCTGTCCCCCACCTCTTGGCCAGGCAGGGCTGAGGGACCCACTGTGGGCCGGATGCAATCACTTGGCAGACTGGATCTGGGCCATGGGCCATATTTTGCCCACCCCTGTCCTAGCATCAGGCTGTGAGTCCCTGACCTTGTATTTACTACTCAGGGTAGGGTAAATGCATGGTGTAAGAATGTGCAGGATCATTCCCCCTCCTTTAAAGAAAGAACTAAGTGAGAAAAGTTTTTATTGATACCCATATTGGTAATATTAAAACCTTCTCCATTTTCTCCGCAACTTTTTATATATCACACACTTCCACACTGCTAACCCTTCCAAGTGACTGCACTGTATCTTTATATGGCTTTGTTTTCCTACCCAGTGTTGAAGAGTTGAGGCTATTTTCAATCTTCAGAATCTTGTAAACAGGATCAAACAGGAACCCAGTCATCAGCAAGTAGAAGGCTAAAAAATAAAACCAAACACATATCAACATTTGATATATATAGATCTAGATATAGATATAATCTATCTGTCTATCTATAAACATCCATCCAAACCAGGAAACAAAAGTCTGGGTTCTGTTAAGACTGCCCTATTCTTTTTCAGCTGGCCCATGAACTTTTTTCTTGCAGTACAGAGCCTGTCATAAATTAATGCATCACCCCAAATATATCACATGTAAAAGCTACCATAGAGATACATTTGAGCTAAAAAAACCACATTAGACATTATCAAAACTAAAGTGGCACCTCATATCATCATAAATCAATGTGAGAGCTGAACTGGGAACAAGATTCCCCTATTATTTTTTTCCTTCTCTTGTCTGCTTGAACAATGAACCCAGGCTTAACATTTCTACTTTTTTACCCATAGCAATCATACCTGCCCAGACTGTTAAGCATGGCTTAGGAGGAAAAGCGAGTGACAGGGAGCCAAGAAGGCTTCCCTTCCCACCATTAACTGAGCTCCTGTGTCTGTGTAACTATAAGCAATTAAATTAACTAATCTGTGCCTCATTTTACCTAAAACAATAATCTTTGCCTATCTCATGTCTTTATGTTGGAAAAAGTATTTGCTATTATTGTTTTCTAATTCTGATTCGTATTTGGCATCAAATATTTTTATTTTGCAACTAGTTAACAAATATGGTGATAGGGAAAAATAATGTGGAGTTGAAATTTAAAAACAACCCAAAATCTAACCTTAATACCATTCAAATAAAAGGCAGGCACTTTAAGTCAACATTGTGGGATTATTTTAGCAACGGTGTGACTCCTGTAATACTCCATGAATATCAGAGACAGATCATACACTAGTGAAAAGAAACTGTAGCATACATGTGAAGGATATAACATTCAAAAGGGGAATGTCCAGAGTTCACATGGATCCCAAATGGATGTCAAATTTCTTGAAAAATCAGCTCTGATTTTCTTTATTATTTTTCACGGAATCATGTGAATAAAACTAGAATAAATTCTTTAACTCTAATCCATGTCACAAAAAACCTTCCCTATTAAAATTATTCTCTGAATGGGATTTTATAATAAAAATCTGGTCCACACTAAGGACGTTGTCATCTTATCTCATTCTATTTATTTCCAACACAAACCACCGCATAGCACAATAGCAGGGTCACTTGGGGACTATCTGTGCATGAAAGCTGCACCAGTTTAAGGTAAGAATTCATGTTCAACCAGTGCAAAAGGATGTGTGAACAGTTTTATTTCATTTTAAGCCAGACTTATTTAAATTTAGCACAAGTCAATTAGGAACTAGTTTAACTTAATGAAAAAGCAGCTCCTAAACCAAAATGAGTGTGTCCACATAGCAGCTGATATAACTTAATCAAAGCAAAACAAAATTAAGTTAAACCAGTGCAACTTCTTTCTGTAACCAAGGCACTAGTCACTCTGGTGATATGCTGATGAATGTATTTTCTATCTGAATGATCATACACAAATATATTATAGTTTTATGCTGTGTGAAGACCTGATGAAATCCACTGGCCTATCTACAAAGTGAGGTACATGTGAATACTGGGTGCTTCTGCCCACATATAACTTATGAATTCTGTTTGATATAAGGAATTCTCTTTGTATTTCTGTCTCAGCTCAGAAACTCCATCTGGACTATGGAGTTGGTGTGTCTTCTCCGCTGTCCTTTGCCTCTATATTAAGTTAAAACCTACAAAAAATGACACTAGAAATTCTTGAGCCGGAGAAAGAGCTAAAACAGGAAGGTCACCAAAGCTTGATGATCCTCTATTCAACTGGAACATTCCTGAACAAAGAGACAACTACTGCTCATCTGTACCTCAGCTGGCAGTAACTAAGCAACATATCACTTGACTAGAGGGCGCTGATCACCTAAGACACTGATCGAGAGTTTTGATTGATAGAAGAGGCCAGAAATATAAAAAAGGGTATCTCTCTGGCTGGAAGGAGGAATTTTCATGTTCTGAACATGAAGCTATGGGCAAAAGAACAGGCAAGAGAAACTGATGGGCATACATTCATGAAAGAGGGAACAGCCAAAGAAAAGGAAAGTGACTACAGGATAGAGAGAAAGGCCTCATGATTTCAAGGAGGCATGTGTTGAAGTGGGGATCCTGGACACTTTAGAAGACTTTAAGCTAAGCCCAAAGATGCTGAACAGTGGTAAAGAAACTGAGGCAGGGAAGTCAGTTAGGATGAGAAGAGTGGCACTCTACATCAAAGAGCAATACACATCCTCTGCAAACAGCACTGGGTCTCAGATAGGGCAGACTGAGGTGCTCTGGGTAGAATACAAGGGGTCGGGGGGAAAGGGACCTAACAGTAGGGGTCTACTACAGGCCACCTAACCAGGGAGAAGAGCTGGACCGGGAATTCTCAGGTCAGCTCATGGAGGCAGTTAAATCAAGGGATGTGGTCATCACCTAAACTACTTGGACATCTGCTGGGAAGAGTAGTCAGCCAAGTCTGACCGCTCACATAGGTTCCTAGCCGAGTTACAGGACCTCCACCTAACCCAGAAGGTGCACAGTCCCACCAGGAGAAATGCCTTATTGGACCTGGTCCTGGCCACAGGCGACTGCAGGTGCTCGACTACCTGGGTGATAGCGATCATCGCCTACTGGAATTCACTATCCACCGCAAGGTGCCAAAGGCCTGCAGCAAAGCAGCAGCCCTGGATTTCAGGAGGGTGGATTTCAATGAGGTAAGGAGACTAGTCGGGGAGGCACTGGGGTCCCAGAGGGGAGGGGAGTTGGGAGTCCAAAAAGAGTGGTCGTTCCTTAAGCAGACAATCCTCCAAGCCCAAAACATGACATTCCCCAGGTGGATCAAAGGGGGGCAAGAGTGCTCAAAAGCCCCCACAGCTCACCAAAAGCATCCACGAATGCCTCAAAGCCAAAAAGGAGGCATACACCCAATGGAAGGGAGGGGCCATCACCAAGGATACCTCCTTGGCTCGAGATTGTAGGGGGTGCTATTAGGAAGGCTAAGGCAGAGATGGAACTGGGACTAGCGACCTGGGTCAAAGATAACAAGACATCCTTTTTTAAATACATAGGGGGTAAAAAAAAGCGAGCAAATAATGTGGGGCCTCTGCAGGACATGCTTGGTAATCTGGTGGTAGCACCAGATGATATCTTGGTCAAAGCTAATATCTTTAACAGATTCTTTGCTTCCATTTTTCTGATCAGGGACAGGGGCATCCCCCACACTGGGATACCGGACGGACCCAGGGGAGGTGCAGCCAGGCCCAGGGTCAGTGAGGACCTAGTCAGGGAACTTCTGGAGGGACTAGATGTGTTCAAATCAGCAGGTCCTGACGATCTTCACCCCAGAGTGCTTAGGGGACTGGCAGAGGTCATTGCAGGACCCCAGCACAACTCTACGAGCACTTGTGGTGCTCTGGTGAGGTGCCTGATGACTGGAAAAGGGCCAATGTGGTCCCCATTTTCAAAAAAGGGAGGAAAGAGGACACACAAAACTATAGGTCCCTTAGTCTTACCTCAGTCCTGGGAAAGCTCTTTGAGAAAATCATCCAGGAGCACATTTGCAAGGGACCAGCAGGGGAGTTTATGCTTAGGGGCAATCAACATTGGTTCATTAGAGGCAGGTCCTGTCAGATGAACCTGGTGGCCTTCTATGACCAGGTCACAAAATCCTTAGATGCAGGTGTCGCAGTGGACGTAGTCTTCCTGGACTTTAGGAAGGCCTTCGACGCCGTCTCTCACCCCATCCTCATTAAAAAATTAGGTGTCTGTGGTGTTGACACCTACACAGTCAGATGGGTCGCAAATTGGCCGGAGGGCTGCATCCAGAGTGGTGGTGGATGGATCATTTTCAACCTGGAGAGGTGAGGGCAGTGGGGTTCCTCAGGGTTCAGTTTTCGGGCCTGCACTGTTCAATATCTTCATCGGTGATTTGGACAAGGGGGTGAAAAGCACCTTGTTCAAGTTCGCAGATGACACTAAGATGTGGGGAGAAGTGAGGACACCAAAAGAGAGGGACAGGCTACAACTAGATCTCAACAGGTTACAGAGGTGGAAGGATGAGAAAAGGATGGGTTTCAATACAGACAAGTGCAAGGTGTTGCACCTGGGGAGGAACAACCAGGAGCACACCTACAGGCTGGGGAACTCCCTTCTTGTCAGCACAGAGGCAGAGAAGGATCTTGGAATCTCTACTGATTCCAAGATGAACATGGGCCGACAATGTGGGGATGTGGTCAGGAAGGCCAACCGTACCTTGCCATGCATCCATAGATGCATCACGAGCAGGTGCAAGGAGGTGATCCTCCCCCTCTATGCGACAGGCTGCAGTTGGAGTACTGCATCCAGTTCTGGGTGCCGCACTTCAGGAGGAATGTCGACAGCATCGAGAGGGTCCAGAGGAGGGCCACTCACGTGATTAGGGGGCAGGAGGGCAGGCCCTATGAGGAGAGGCTACAGGACCTGAACCTGTTCAGCCTCCACAAGAAAAGGCTGAGAAGAGATCTGGTGGCTGCCTATAAACTTGCCAAGGGGGACCAGCAGGCAATGGGAGAGTCCCTGTTCCCCTGAGCACTACTGGGGGTAACAAGGAACAACGGCAATAAATTGACTGAGAGTAGATTCAGAATAGACATCAGGAGGCACTATTTCACTATCAGGGCGGCTAGGAGCTGGAACCAACTTCCAAGGGAAGTGGTGCTTGCCCGTACCCTTGGGGTCTTCAAAAAGAGGCTAGACAGCCACCTAGCTGGGGTCATTTGACTCCAGCATCCTTTCCTGCCCATGGCAGGGAGTCGGACTAGATGATCTGCTTAGGTCCCTTCCAACCCTACCAACTATGAAACTATGAGTGAGACGAGAAGAGTGGTAAGGAAATTTAGGCTAGGAAGTACGCATAAGTATTTAATCATTTTGCCTAAATCTTTATATTTCTTATGCTTTCTAAGGCAAAGAGTAATTACCTTTGAACCTTGGTTATGTG